CGGGGCACAGCTATAGCTCAGTGGCACAGGAGCCTGCCTGGTAAGCGCAAGGTCCTGAGTTTGATTCCCGGTACCAAAAAAAAAAAAAAAAAAAGATGCTCATTTTACATACACACAGCCCATATGCCCAACAAGGAATGAATGGATAAAGGAAATGTGATATGGTTTTTATATATAATGGAGTACTCTGCCATAAGGAAAGCATTCAATATATATATCAAATACTCCATGCATACTTTATATATTTATGACTTGTCAATAAGTAAATAGAAAAATATTATTATCACTATGATTATTACCTATGTGTTTCAATATATGCAGTAGAGATTTAAATGACTGGGAAGAATTTGGAATTGAATTATTTATTTTTATTTTATTTACTTATTTATTTATTTGCTAGGCTAGGGATCAAAGCCAGGGCATAGCACATGCTAGGGAAATATTCTATCACTGAACTACACTTCCAGCTCTAGAGTTGAATTACTGATATGTATATAGTAAAGCCAACAAATGTCTAAACTAGAGAATTGTGAACTTCAGGGAAAAGTTGTACAGAAATAGTAATCACAAGACATATTCTATATGACTCAACTATAAATTATCACAGTAATAAACACTGATTGTAGACCTTATCAAAACAATGAAATACACTATAGTCATCTGAGGATGAAGGGGTTACAGAAAATGTGTATGTGAGGGAGGGTGTATAGAAAAGCTAAATCTCAATCTTTCATAATGGGAAGTTAATAGAAGATGTCCTAAACTTTAAAAATTTTATTGAAAAGATTAAAACTGTTTGCCTTTGGGGAACTGGAATCTGGGGAAATAGAAAATGGCCATTTTTCAAACAAAGCATTAGAGAACTATTTGATATATTTTACCACTTGTAAATAAAACTATAAGTTCATTGCAAATTATATACCATGGCAAAAATATTAACAAAAATATACAAGAATGGTAAATGTGATTAACCTTAACATTAAAAAACTTTAAATCCATGAACTAAGATAAATTACTCAGCAATGAACATGAAAATTCACAAAAGGTGAATAAATGACCAATAAAAATGTAGAGAGGCTGGGGATGTAGTTCAGTAGTAGAGCACTTGCCTAGCATGCAGAAGGCCCAAGGCTCTATCCCCAGTATTACAAAAAAAAAAATGTGGAGGGAAATGATCCTGCAAAAAATACTGCAAATGACAACAAGATATAGTGGTATCATTCCTTTCTTCAGGCTCTGCAGTTTTGGGTGAATTTCTGACCCCAGGCACCTCTTCTTCCTCACCTCACAGGTGTTACCACGTCCCTCTGGCTGGATGGAGTCCCCACTGGCCGCCATGTTCACACTGGACCTCAGCCCCGTGGCTCTCTTGCTGATCACTTGCTCTTCCCAGGTTCTACAAGTCTGCTGGGGTCCGTGGACTCAACTGGAGCTGCTGGGGTCAGAAGAAAGATCTTGCAGCTTTTGCTAAGGGGTGCGGCTCAAAGACTCTGCAGATGCTCCAAGAAATCTGGAAAGACAATATTCACATAGTCAGGACCATACAGCATCAGCATCACCATACAAATTTTTTTCTGGTGGCAGCAAAGTAAAGTTCACTGCACTGGATGCTAAAGGGTAGACAGAGTCCTAGAGACACCTATCACACTTATTAATCAAAATGGAATACGAGCAAGACCATGAGGTTTGGGCTAAAACTAACAAAGGTTTAAGTTCTAGCTCTCTGATCATTTAGTTGTGAAACTGTAAAAAAGTTTCTTCAGTTTTATTTTTTAAAACAAATGGAAACTTTATCTCAAACGGTGGTGGAAATTAAATGAGATGATGTTTTTAAGGGACTCAGCGTGAGACTGGCACAACGTAAACATTTAACACATACCAGCAAGTACTGTTATACAGGTTGAGCATCCCAAATCCAAAACTCTGAAATCCAGAGTCTACAACTTTTTGAGCACTGACAAGATGCCTTAAGTGGAAAATTCCACGCCTGACATCATGTGATAAATGGCAGTCAAAATGCAGGCGCAAAGCGAAAACAACAACTTCCAGAGAGACTGTGCATAAAAGGGCACCTTTACACACTGCTGGTGGGGATGTAAATTAGTATAGCCACTATGGATAACAGTATGGAGATTCTTCAAAAAATAAAAGTAGAACTAATGTATGGTCCAGCTAAACCACTCCTACATATGTATCTACAGGAAATTAAGTCAGTATACCAAAGAGATATTTGGATACCCATGTTATTTATGGCACTATTCATAATGGCCAAGGTATGGAATCAGCCTAGGTGCCCATCAACAGAGGAACTGGTACAGAAGTATGCAAGAAAATGGATGGAACTGAAGGACATCACTTTAAGCAAAATAATCTACACAAAAAGATAAGTACTGCATGTTTGCTCTCATATGTGGAAACTAAAAACATTAAAAAATAAAAAATGCTGACCTGAAGGTAGAGGAGGAACTACTGGGGGGATAGACACGGTCAGTGCATGATATATGCATGTATAGAAATATCACAGTGAACCCCAGTAATTTGTACAATTAATGTATTAATAATTAAAACATAAAATAAAACATTGAGAAGATATGGGGGAAGCAGGTGTACTAAAGTATTACATAAAATTACTTTCAGACTATGCGTATAAGGTATACATGAAATACATATGAGTATTGTATATAGGTATGAATTCCATTCTAAGAGATCTCACTATATATGTGCAAATACTCCAAATTCCAAAGGAAATGCAACATCTAAAACATACTTGGTTTAAAGCATTTTAGAAAAAGGATATACGACCTATATAAGGACCTGTGCAATGTACAGAGGCAGGTACTTCATACAATTTGCACAAAAATCCTGTCACATATATCTTGCTGTAATTATTATTATTCAATTTTGTGCATACAAGAACGGGAGTTTAGTAGTGGTCAATCAAACTCAGTCACCTGGCTCCAAATTTACAAGGCAGGCCCTAAATAAATGTTGTTCTGCTTAACAGGTGTTGAAAATAGGACTGAATTTGCGATAAAAACTTAAGTTTCTTGAGAGAGCAGACATGCCATAAAGAAAATATTAATAGCTTGGGACTAAAATTTTTTAATTATCTCAAAACATATCCACAGGTAAAACTATTTCTCCTGTTGAGTGAATCAGGGAGGAAACAGTATCTCTGTGTCCAAGCTGAACTACAATTTTATACTGATCAACTAATGAAGGCACTATAGATTTAGACATTCTTCTTAGAAAGGGGAAATATCCACTTGAAATGAAGATAAATTTAATTAAGACAACAGATTTAAGAAACAGGATAAAAAAGAAACAAGAAAGTAAAATAAACAAAGAGTAAAATAATATAAAAGGCATGAACAAGTTAAATTTTAAAAGTGTAAAGAGGATATTATATCAAAGACAGACACTGGGTGTGGTGGCACACACCTGTAATCCCAGCACTCAGGAGGCTGAGGCAGGAGGAGCATTGCGAGTTTGAGACCAGCCTGGGCTACAAAAGTGAGCTCAACACTAGCCTGGGCTGCATAGAGAGACCCTGCCTCAAAAAGACAAAAAAAAAAAGACTATGCTTCCTTATGCCCATGAAACTTTTTTTAATTTATGTTTTTTGTTTTTTTAAAAAAATGAAGTTTATTGATACAATTTAGGTATACACTATGCTCACATTCATCATAGGGAATTTGTATGTACATGATATACCTTGATTTGTCTTTTTTTCCCTTCCAATCCCCTCCCTCCCTTCAACCCCTCTTGCTCTCCTTATTTATGAAACTTTGTTTCCATTTTATCCTTCTTTTCTCATTTTTTCTTTTCCCTTCCTTCCTTTCCCCCTCCCACCCAGTTCCCCTTTCCTTTTGAGCAATTTCTTCCCATTTCACCATATCTCTTGTACAACTTAGTTCTTATTTATACTTTCAGTTTTGCACACCAGTGAAACAATGAGATATTTACACATGTGTGTCCAATTTACTTTACTTAAGAGTATGGTCTCAAGGTCTATCCATTTAGCAATAAATGTCTCAAGTTTATCCATCTTTATGGCAGAGTAGTACTCCATTATATTAAAAATCACATCTTTTTACCCATTCATCAGTTAATGGGCATTTGGGTTGTTTCCAAGATTTAGCTATTACAAACTGTGCTGCTATAAACATGGGTGCATACATATCACTGTGATATGATGCTTTTAATTCTTTTGTGGAAATACCAAGAAGAAGAATAGCTGGATCAAATGGGACCTCTAGTCCTACTTTTTTGAGGGATCTCCACACTGAGAGATCCCTCAGTTGGTAGCACCAGTCTACATTCTCACCAACATTGGAAAAGGGTTTCTTTTTCCCTACAGCCCCTCCAGCATTTGTTATTGGTTGATTTCTTGATAATAGCCATTCTTTTTTGCAGTACTGGGGATTGAACCCAGCATTGGTCTACCACTCAGCTACATTCCCAGTCTTTTTTGAGACAGAGTCTGTGTAGATGTCCAAGTTGAACTTGGATTCGTCATCTCCTGGCTTCAGCCTCCCAAGTAGGTGGGATTTCAGGAGAGTGCCACTGCATCCAGCTGTGATAAATATTTTAATGTTGGAAATTTACAGGATATATATAGTCTCTGTTCATAACATAAAATGTTCAATATCATTAATCATTAGAGAAAGCAAATGAAAACCAAAGTCTCCAATTTGTTAGGATATCACTTCCCATCCATTAGAATGACTAAAAAATATTTTTTTAAAGACAGTAAGTGTTGGTGAGATGTGACTGAATTAGTGCTCTCATACATTGCTAGTGGGATCATAAAATGATGCAGCTACTCTGAAAATGTTTGGCAGGTCCCCTAAATGATAACCATATGTAACCAAGCTGTTCCACTCGTTACTGTATCTACCCAAAAGAAATGAAAGAACATGTCCACTCCAAAATTTGTATACAAACATTCACAGCAACATTACTCACAGTAACCAAAAGGTGGAAACAATGTAAATGTCCACCAACTGGATAGAAAAAAATTTGTACTTCTATATACAGAATATCACTTGGCAACACAAAAGAAGCCCAGCCAGGTATGGTGGCACACACCTGCAATCCCAGTACTCGAGAGGCTGAGGCAGGAAGATTGCCCTGAGTTTGAGGCCAGCCTGGGCTGCATAGTGAGTTCAGCCCAGCCTGAACTACACAGTGAGACCCTGTCTCAAACAACAACAACAACAACAACAACAACAATAAAAAACCCAAAACCCAAAAAAACCCAAGGAAGTCCTGGAATCTTCTACAAAATGGACAAATCTTGAAACTGTTATACTAAGTGAAAGAAATCAGTCACAAAAGATCACATATACAAGACAAGGGTGTCCACTGTCACCACTCCTGTTCAATATAGATCTGGAACAACTAGCCAGAGCAATTAGACAGGAGAGAGAAATAAAAGGAATAAGGATAGGAAAGGAAGAAGTAAAACTATCACTATTTGCAGATGACATGATAC